AAACAAAATTTTCCTATCTTGTCATCTTCTGGAGGAATATTGAATTCATTTAATGCTCTCTTCTATTTAAATTAGATTATCTTCATGTGAAAATAAATTCAATAGTCTCCAAGAAAATTGAATTTAAAATCTATCATCAGAGCTGATGACTTTAGCAATTTGCGATCTTCATGTTTGGGATTATCATTAGGTGGATAGAACCGATAATCGATCCTGGTATCTTAAATATGCGAATGGGTAATTGAAATTTTAAACATTGGACAGATTGTGGGAATATAATTATATCTGTTACTGTCTTTAAAAATGTCTGGATTCCTAATAGCAGAAATAAACTCTCTTCTATTACTACGACTGTAAATACAATTATTGTTCTCATGCGTTCTATAAAAAGTGACGGATAGACCAATTTTAAAAACTAGTCGACATAATTGTATATTATCACGCCACTACAATATAATTACGGCTTATCAACAAAAAAATTAATAGAATTATTGCGTAGTTGAAATTTAACATGAAGGAGGACTAAAACTTGTTGGGAAAAATCATTTTGGAGAGTCCAATCGTACGCCTTTGGAAATAATTTTGGAACGTCCAATCTTATGCCTTTGAATATATATATATATATATATATATATATATATATATATATATATATATATGTATATATATATATATATCCTCTGGCCTAGATCTATTTATGTAACATATTCAATTTCTTGTTTATCCCCGATATTGCGTATTTAGTTCACAGTTGCATTAGTCGTATTAGAAATAGAACACTTTGCGATTGTTTTCACCATTCTTGTTTTAAGTTGCATAGGATAAAATTAAGGAAATAACACAAATATTTAGGGATAACCCACAAAAATAACTTTGTATGGGATTAATGATTTATTGCCACAAATTTAAGGAAGGAGTTCTGTGGCATCAGAAATTATTTTGTGAATTGGAAGCATATTATCTTACTTGGAAGACTCATATGATGATAGCTTCGAATTTGTTTATTCATTATGTAAATTTCAAAGGCGTGAACAAATATTTACAGTTATCATGTCAACATCAATATGCACATAGACTAAATATTAGTTATCTTTGTTGATGAAAGTAATTGATCGAATATAAACCGTTCAGCAACTTGTTTTTTCGCGCCCATTTCATTTTACGATCGTGTAAATTAGTGTAATATTTCCATTAAAATGTTAGTAAACACTAAAATAGACTCCATATCAAAGTTCTTGATCAATGTGACCTTCGCAGAATCAAAATAAACTTCTCCAACTCTGCTGCATCATTCGATAATGTGCAATTTTATCATTTTGTTTACTCCGGCCGGCAATATGTAATAATTATGATTAGATACGTAATTTGTAATAACAGTACTCTAGTTCGCATTATTTTTATATCTAAAGTAATTGTGGTGCGTATATACGATTTTGTTTACTCGGTTTTGCCGGCTTTGTTTACCGGCTTTAAATTTTGGCTCGGAGCCTGAAATATTAAATATTTGCTTCCGTTTTTAGTTCTTTAGCTTGTTGTTGTAATAACTCGTAGGATTTTGAGAGCAACAATGCATTAAAGTTTTATGCCGAGTACCAACCGTGCTCAAATATTAAAACGATTTTCAGAAATAATCATCAAGTGCCCGAAGAGCAATTTGTGTTTTTGGCAGAAAATCTGGATCACCAATTTGAGATTTTCTCGAAATGTCAAGTCAATAATAAAATGAAGATTTTTGTACTGATACCGATTTAAAAAATTAATTATAATACTTAAGAATGACTTGGGTTAGAAGTTTTTCTTTTTAATTTGCTGTTTAAGTCATCATTTTTCATCAATGGTTGCTCTCATTGAAACGTCGCAATAAAACATTTTTGGTCAAACGAGGATTTAAAGATTTCACGTTCTTATGTCTTATATATAAAATTCTTCTGTACGGGTGTATGATTTGATACTTCTCCTAAACGGTTATTCGGATTTTGATAATTCTTTTTAGAGTTTGTCAAAGGAATTTTTTAAGATTTAATTAACGGTAAAACTATAGTAATATTGTAGAAATAATTGGCAAAAATTACAAAAAAACACTTATCATTGTTTGACATTGAAAACTTTTGAACTGTCGTCTGCTAGAAATGTAAGTTCACTTGAATTTGGAATTCAGCTGAAATTATGAGCCTAGATAATATTAGAATATAATATACAAGAAAAATGTAATGTCTATATTTTATTGCCGAAAAGCAGCTGAGATATGCCAAAAATTAAAATAATATAAGATACAGTCAACAGTTATGTTTAGCAGATGAAATTACATAATTCAGTTTAAGTTTAAATAACGCAATAAGTCCAAAATTGCATATACATTATTTTTTTAAACTTATGCATGTCGCATTTTGGTTAAAAAATATTTCTACTTACTAAAAAATGATTTAGAATTTTGTTTCATGTGACAAAAATCATTTGTTTGGCATTGGATATGGAATATTTAGCAAGTTGATATTAGATTAAAGAGTGCTCATATGAAATAGATTTTACAAATTAATTCACCTAAGATTTGAATATAAACAATAATGTTTATTAAATTATTAGTAAGAAAAATGTACTTTAGAAATTATAATTTCCAAAAAGCATAATCGTACGAGATTATGAAAATTATAGATTAAATTATTGAAGCAATTAAGTTGTGTGTTAAAATCAAGTGTGATATTGTTCTTTTACTACAGATACTATATTATTTTTTTCTGAATTTCTTATACTGCTTATGCTAAGACCATAAATAAATCACAAAGATTGGACATCAAATAGGATATTAAAAAGTATAGAATAGGATATTAAAAAAATTTGAACTTTTGAATTGTAGACGTGGGTACAGGACAACGTCTGTCGGGTCATCTAGTATATATATATATATATATATATATATATATATATATATATATTAAAATAACATGACAAGTGACAGCTCTGATTAAAAAATGATGATGGTTCAGTACTTGTTGATCCATATACGTGCAAGGTCGGTGATTTTAAATTTCACTATCGATGGATTTATTTTAAGAAATTTGTATTCTAGGAACGCTTCAAGATTTTATAAATAAAATTAGGAATGTATTAATAAATTGATGATTTTTTTAATTTGATATTAAGGGAGACATCATCCATATTAAAATATATGAATAAATATTATCATGGTAAGGGATTTTTAGAACAATCAAGAAATTTAATGATAATTAATAAAGATAGTGAAGTAAAGATAAACATTAAATATAAATCTTAAATTGCTACCAACAAATAAAAAATGAGTTCTTAGTTAGTTAAATATAGAAGAATTCAGATAATCACTTTTGTTTCATCGATTAGTTAGTTTTCGATTTAGTGTCATCTGCAGTATGAATATTTTATTTTTTGTAAATTTTACTTTTTTATAAATGTAGCATTGCAGATTATTTTACCTAGTGATAAATGTTGTCACCTTGAAATACACCATTTTCATATAATATATACAACTCCTAATTTCTATAGCGAGTGTTTTATTGATTTCATATTTCGTAAAGTTATTTTGGTTACGTCCATTCAAACGTTTCAAATGAAAAGGTTTTGGCACGAGAGCTAAAAGTAAAATATAGACCTAAAACAAATACATTTTTGGTATACAATATTATATAAAAAACAGACCAAGACTTTAAAAAAAACGTTGATTTTTGGCACACAAAGTCTTTGGTTCACACACATGAAAAATCACAAAAATTTACAAGAGAGAGACACATCATTAATTACGAAAATGCAACTTTTTATGAAGTTGACCTAGAATTTAATGCCTGAGAAATATGGAAGTTATCCAAAATTTTCTTCAAGGAAATTAAATTATTTGAAGAAAAGTGCACAATATTTGAAAAAAAAAACTTTTGTTTTGAGCAAACCGATATTCTTTACATAATATTTCTGGTAAATTTTAACGATCAGATTTAAGTTTTACAAACACATTCGTTAATATTTATTACATATTTTGCATCGATATTGTGATGCAACCGTGTAATTCTCATGCTTTGAATATTTTTTATGTTTAACATAATAGCTTTTACTACAGTAATTAGTATGTGATTATGATAATGAACATAAATGTTACTAACAACTTTTATGAAATACTGTGCAAAATTATTCTACAACTCATTCCACTACTTTTCATACCGCATATACGCAGAAATCCACATTTTAACTAAATTCTAACCGCACTAAAATTCGACACTAATTCTAACGATTTTTGTGGTCCAACTATTGTCTTCACATGTCTTGAAATGAGAAGCAATTTGTTAAATTTATTTCGGTACATGGAACATTATGAACCATTGGATCTATGTTGCAAGATCTACGTAAACACATGCTAATAAACATATTGAAATTCAATTGACGTGTTAATTGGATACAGTGTTGGTCTAACCGAATGGTTTATATTATGCAGGAAAACTTCGAGAAGTCGTAAGAAATTTTAACGATGGACCAAACTTTTTGAATTTTTTATTAGCCAACTTTTCACCTACATTTAAAACTCTAGAATATTGGGAAAACTTCTTATTTAAGACTTCTAATAATGGAGCTCTTACAGAGACCAAAGTTCTCTTGGATTTTAATAAAAATGTCGCCGCAAATTCGTAGAAGCCAAAATGTGTAGTTGCAAATACCAGAAATTAGTGAGTTTAACTAAAACTTAAAGCAACAAGGTAGTAAGTAAAAGCACAGATAAGCAGAAACATAAACAAAAGCAGCAGAAACTAAGGAAAGCATTAACTTAGGACAAATCAATAAAGATAGGTTAGTAAAAATAATAGCAAATATGTATTTAATTCATAGAGTAGATTCTTCTTCTAACTATCTGTCTCTATACACACAATGACGTAATCTACTCACAAAAATTAATATTATCACAAAAGCATTGTTTGATTCCAAAAATCCACCACCACAACAATGTGCTTCTTTCAAACTTTAACAATTTTATCTGCTCGTCCTACCTCACAATTTTGTTGCTTCTTCCATTGGCATTGAGCAAAGGTTCACCAGCTCCTGTTTTTTGGTTTGTGGAACCTCCTGTAAAGGCTCTCTTGACAGTGTCAATTACTGAGGAAGGAGTTGTTGGTTCGGTGGTTGACATGTAGACATTTCCACCGGCGTTCCCTAAACTTGTATAACCGCCATTGTGGACAGGAGATGTGTTGGAGGTTGGTTCTTTTGGTTTTTGGACGTATGGCGTGTCGCCAATTGGGCCTAAGACTTGAGGCATCTTGGGTGGATTTTGGCTTCTTTAGGAATTGAAATTTTAAACCAATTTAGTGATTCCAGAACGTATTTGGTTGTTGACTTGTATTTGATACGCCTACAGTGGTTCTGCCTCGACTGCTCGGTTACTGAATGTATCGTGCTACCAATCAGATTCCAATTGAAATTATTAATGAATCTTAGAAAGTGACCTTTCTAAATATTAAATTTCTGTACAATTTCTTTGGTTGGTTCTGGGTAATATAACTATTTTTCTGAAAATTTTCCAGTACTACGTTGTTCTATTTCAGATACCAATTTATCGAACCAGATAGTATTATCAATATGTACAAATATTACGTTCTATGATGTGCTGTACACTCACATCCACCTTACTGGTGTTTGTTACTCCAGAATTGAACTTTCGGCAGGTTTTTACGTTGTTTTAGTAATAGCATTCGGCTTTTATTAGAAATCAATACACGGTGTATGTAGTATCTTCAATGCGCCTATGTGGTGGTCAGGTCTCCAAGTGGACCATTTTTTCCGATTTTGTCAAATGTGTCTCCTTGCTTTGCAGACGATCAGATTTGATACAGAGATGAATATAAGGAAGAAAGAAAAGGTTAAGATAAAGTATATAAATTATAAGATGAATGAAAATATTAAATTTAGATAGTGGAAAGTGGAAACAGAAGATGAAAAAGACTTAGGCCTAAGACTTAATTTTGAATAAATTTGTTTTATATAACTTCAATATGTTTTCAAGAATCATTTATATTCATGAAGACGTCCATTGTGTAATTTAAACTCAAGAAAAAAATTTAATAAAAACATTGAATACATATTTTGCCATGCAAAAATTAGCTAGAGGCTTCATATTCAAAAGCATTCAAGAGCATTAGGTTACATTTAAAATAATTATTGGAATATTTATTAGTGCTAAACGCATAACATTCTTCTTATCTTATCGGGAATGCATTACATTTAATAAGGCTTGTAGTATATTTACACATATTATTTTAAATTATATGACGATTTAGTAATTTTACATGCGCATACATTCTACAAAATATTATATAATGACTATAGTACTATACATATTCAAATATAAATCAGACGACGAAATTGAAAAATATCATTGATGAAATTCCTTAAACCATGTAAAAAATAGGGTATATGTAATAAATGAAAAAAATATTGAAAAAGTATTTAGAGGATGAAATTTTAATCGTTTTATAGCATTTTATTGATCGATTCAAAATCTGTCCTATATGTAGTAATTAAATCAACTATTTTTAGGAAAGCCTAATGAATACAATCTGATAAAATTAAAAAAATATTCCTGATAAAAACCTTTACCGACATAAATAATAAACACTGTATAGCAAATATTATTAAACTTATCGAAAGAGTATTTAATATTTATATAGCTCCAAACCGCAATCTTTTACATCTTTTGTAATATTTTATTGATCGGTTCAACATCTAATCGATATGTTGCAATTAAATTCAACTTATTTGTATGAATGAAATAATGCAATAGCAATAAATGCCAAAGAGTGAATATATAAAAAAAATCCGTCAAACTTTCAAAATTTATGCAACTAGTCGAAGAAATCAACTTCACCAATCTCATAAATTAGAATACTATCTATATTTGAAATATTAAAAATAGTAAAAAAATCTAATTGAAAAATTTGATTTTATTATCTTACATACTAATTTTTAATTTTTCCAAAATAAACAGAAATTTGACTTTATAATCAAAATTTCAGAAAATTTTATATATTCATGGTACATAAATTTGTTATATTTTTATTATTAGTATTCATTTATATTTTTTCAGCTAATACGATAAACAAATGAAATAAAAATATTTTTTTAGTTAAGTTATATAGAATTAATTATTTTACATACTATTTCTTATTTTTCCCAAAATAAACAAATTGATTTTTTTTTCTTTAATTTTTTAAATGAATGTTTCAGTAAATTTTAAAAATACCTGGTAGTTTGCTACATAAATATTTTTTTATATTTTTATTAATTATATTTTTCCTTATTAGTATTTATTTATATTTTGTTAGCTAATACAATAAAAAAATGAAAACAAAATAAAAAACAATTTTTTAACTAATTTATATAGAATTAATTATTTTGGCATACTTTTTCTTATTTTTTCTAAAATAAACAGCACTGTAAAAAGAATTTTTTTCACCCTTAACTTTTAAAATAAATATTTCAGTAAATTTTCAGTAAATATATACATGGGAGCTACATAAATAATTTTTCATATTTTTATTTATTTCATTTTTCATTATTAGTATTTATTTATATTTTTTAGCTAATACAATAAAAAAATAAAATGAAATAAAAGCCATTTTTCAATTAATTATGTCTCATTTTTTCAAAAATAAACAGTTATGTAAAAATGGAATTTTTTTACTTTCAACTATTTAAATAAATGTTTCAGTAAATTTTATAAATTCGTTGCAATTAGCTACATACATTATTTTTTTATATATTTTATTATTTATATTTTTTATTTAAATTTTTTGTTATTAGTATTTATTTGTAATTTTTACTGCTAATATAATGAAAAATAAAAATTAAAAAAAATCGTTGATGATGTAAACTAGGATCTTATAATATTATTAAATCATTGATGCTTTAAAACTGGAATATGCGGTTAAGGATTTGTTATCCTAGATAATTTTAATTTTGTCTAAATTTATATATATATATATATATATATATGTGTGTGTGTGTGTGAAAATAATTAAAAAAAATAAAAATAAAATCTTTGATGATTTAAACTAGGATCGTCTAATATTAATAAATCATTGGTGATGTAAGGCTGGAAGATGCGGTTAAGGATTTCTTATCCTGGTTATTTTTCAATTTGTCTAGATTTATATATATATATATATATATATATATATATATAACAAAAAATGAAAATGAAATAAAATCATTGATGATGTAAACTAGGATCTTCTAATATCAATAAATCATTGATGCTATAAGTCTGGAACATGCGTTTAAGGATTTCTTATCCTAGATATTTTTCAATTTGCCTAGATTTATATATATATATATATATATATATATATATATATTCTGAATAGATATTGAATATATATTAGATATATAACTATGTGTATAAAGAAGTATAAGGATCAGGAGCCATTTTGAGCGAATTCTTTGCTAAAAATCAATACATTTACGTCACTAGCGAATTTAGTAAAATGCATTGCGCATAAAAAATTAATAAATCAAATGATTAACAAGTGAATCCATTCTCATATGATAGTGATAGTGCAATATGCTGTGTCTATGCTGTAATAAAAGTTATATTGATCGACCTACATATCAATGACACATGGTTTGATAATCGACTTACCTGGAGATTTGGGAAATTTATTTCGGTAATGAATCAGGTGTGTCTTTAACAAACACTTTACACTTATCACAGGCACTGTTTGTATTTTTTTGAGAAATTAAAATGATGATTTCAAAGGAGTATGATTTTCATTGAAATGCTAAGAGTGATACTAGACATATGAAGTTGGTTGTTAGGGACCACTGTTGTCAAAATACGAAGTAGGGCGGCGTTCGACTACAATCGGCCATCTTCGAGTTCGATTTAAAAGAGAGTGGCGTAGTCTAGAGTTTTTATGCAGGTACTAACGGTATTTGGAAAACGAGTTTTGAATCTTGAATGGATGTTATTATTATTTAAGCAAACCAAATGAAATCGAATGTTTATTGTAATATATTACATCGTAGTTTATTTTATCGGCTGCTTAATTTTTATTTATAAAAATATGGAACACAACTGCAAAGACATCCACACCACATGGTTACACAAGGTATTGGCTTAGCATAGATAAACAAGTATAAATGCGACTTAGATTTGACTAATTTTTTTTTCTGTAATTGTTTTGACTTATTATTATATGGATTTTTATTAATCAGAAAAAATACTAGATGTCATATTTATAGACAGTTGTAATTACTAAATGAAAAAAAAATGGATTTTTGAATGGATAGCAACCCAGTAGTTGTCCAATCCAATTATGACTAATTAACTATACTCAAAGTATTTGCTGATATTAACTTTTAAATTAATATGACGATTTTAAAATACTAGGTAATAAATAAGAACTTATTATAGCAAAATATAAATTGCAAGATAAACGATTATATTACTTAATTAATTACTAAGGATTATTAATCAGGTTATTTATTAATTTACTAATTTTGAATGATTCGAATACATACAAATTTTCCATCATTCAAATATTCGAATTGATTCAAATGTTCCACCATTAAATTATTCAAATTTTTATCATACATCATCACGTCGTAGTTCATTTTTTTGTATTACTGTTTTTATTTTAATTTTTTTTTCATTTTATATTCAATTTATTGTATTTTTTTGTGTTATTTTTTTCACCAGTCAATTTTGTACATAAGACATTAAAGTCTTGATTAACAAAAATAAATTGTAACAAAAAAAAATCCGGCTTGAATTGATTCAAATCTTCCACTATTCAAAATTTAGAATGTTTATGATTCGAATTCGTTCAAATATTTTCATTATTCATAATTCGGAACGATTCAAATGCGCCAACATACACATTTTCGAATTTTTACGATTCGATTCAAAATGTTTCGAATGGATTAAACAAATCCATCATTTAAATTTTAGTGTTTATGTAAGTCGATATCGTTTTGATATAGAAATTGCATGATGAATGATTATTACTTGATTAATTACTGAGGATTATTAATTGAATAATAATTTACTTAATTGGAATGATTCGAATACGTCCAAATGTCATTTAAATATTCGAATTTTTGTCATTCGCTTCGAATTGATTCAAATTTCCATTATCCAAAATTTTGGATGTTTATGATTCTAATTAAATCAAATATGTCTTTATTAAAATTACTAAATTTGAATTATAATTCGAAACGACTCAAATGCGCCAACATACACATTTTCGAATGTTTACGATTCGATTCGAAATGGTTCGAATGGATTCAAAAAA